ATTGTGAGCCCGGACAGGATGCCGCAAAGGAGCAAAGAGATCTGCAGTACAGCACTTTGAAGAAGGAGACCTCTTGAGGCAAACAAGCCACATATGCCCCGTAATGCAGTGCCCCCAGGGAGCTGCGCAAACTTTGCCGATTCCGCACTCCTGCTGTCCGAGGACATCGTGGCCAGCAAGGCAAACATTCTGAGTTCCTCAAGACAGGTCATGCCTCACATGCCTGCCGCTGCACGGCTTCGGCCCTTTTTTCTGGCTAACTCCAGAATCGCTGCTTGCCACTCGAACTGTGGTTCCCCATGCCGTGACGATCTAGATGCTGTGTGCCCGCCCGGGCTCTTATGAGTTGAGGAGGCAAGCCGTGTTGCTGAGATGAATCGGAGCGTCTGGCAAGAAGCGAATCGGATCATAGCCGCCCCAAGGTCCCACTCAGGTGCTGGCGAGCTTCTTGCCACCCGCGGGCCAAGGGATTCCGCAGCCTCAAATCAGATTCCCAGCTTTGAGTGCAACAACCATGGTTATGCTGGTGGTGGTCTATGATTATGATTGCCGGCATATGGGCATTGGGGTGAACGAACAACCCACTTCCTTAATGCCGTATCGAGCCTCCCTACCAAAAGCCATGGATCCGCTATGACAGCGGAAGGTCTGCACTGGGAGTCCATCCCGAAAGCACTCCTGCTCCCTTTGTCCCGCTCCACGTAAAGCTTTCAAACCCCTATGGTCTGGACCCGCTCACTGTCACAAGGGTCAGGCCGAGGCGGTGCGCAATCATAGTCGTACTATTCTGTTGTTATTGTTATTGTCATCGCAACTTCATTGCTGCAATGAGAATGATGTTTAGTATGAGTTACACGGTTACGCGATTCTACAACCCCAAATTGCCAGACCCCGAACTGTCATACCTTCAATGCACTGCCCAGTCCCGGCATTTTTTCTAAGAGGCTTTAGCGTCCAGCTTTCAAGCGCAGCGAAAGAGGCCTCTGGCAACTCCAAGAGAACCGCTGGCCACCAAGCTTTCACTGCGTGGCAAGAGGACGACCCGAGCACTCAATCTAACTCGGCACTTTCTGACGGCTCATGTAGTGACGGCTTCTGTTGACGACCGCACTTGACGTGGGCCGAGTGGGCCGAGCTCGGCAGCTGGCCTTCTACTTCCGAGTCTTCCGAGCGTGGCCAAAACCGACAGCTGCTACGCTTGAGAGACGAACACCTTCGCCTTCAAAGCCCAAGGTGCCGCCCATCAGGTTTTGCAAAGGCTTCTAGTGGCAAGGAGCCAAAGAGCACAAAGAGCACCCGGCAAGGCGTGGCCTCTATGCCATGCTGTTTGAGCCTGTTGCTTCTGTTGAAGCTTTAAAGAGCTTTATTGGAGCGGAGTGCCCTGCATGAGATCTCCAAGGATTCGGGGATTGCCGGTTCGGGCAGGGCGGTTCCACGGCTCGCACAAGTTGTGAGGCCGTGAGGCCTCAAGCCAAAGCTGCTTAAGATGGCTTCCCGCCCGGGTTGATTCCCGAAAGTGGGTGTGCTCGCGACGGCTCCTCGAGTCTTGCAGCCCCCGACCCATGCACTTCTGACGAGGAGTTGAAACTTCCAGTTCAATGTAAACGTCGGACGGAGTTGCCTCTGAACACATCCAAAACAGCAAGACAAAACAACCACCACGGCTCAGCATGCCACCGGATCGAGGTGAGAGAGAGAGCGGCAGAGACCTACGCCCGACACCCGGCGATGTAGGGCAGACCCCCGACACCAGCAGATGTCTCCGGCCTCCCACAAGAACTTCAGCACCTTGCGTGCCTATGGGCCGAAGCATTTTGTACAGAGGGAGGCTTGACGGACGCAAGCGGAGCCCAGGCAAGGAAGTGCGTCAGGCCGTCAGGCTCAAGCGAAGATGGCTGAGCTCTGGCACTACCTTCCAACTCAGCACCTTGAGAAGTCAACAGAAACCCTCAGAAACCCGGCAAATTCGAGAGTTGGGTAATCTACCGCTCAAGCACATGTTGCTGAGCGCTCCGAAGTAGGAATTGGCATGCTGTCGGGTTAGACTCTTAGACCCTGCCTGACAACCTTGAGCATGAGGATCCTTCTGAGATCTCTTGAAATCCTTCACAGTTTCAGGGTTCCAGCAAGGGCCGAGAACTTTGAAAGTAGCCAGGTGTCAGCCTCAAAGAAGCCTGAGCCCCTAAAGCCCCCCTTTTCAGTATGGCCTCAAACCCCCGTAAACATCTTTGGCCCCAAAACCTCCACTTCAAGCAAAGCAAAGTGAAAAAAAGCTCAATCTCAAGCCTTCCGGGTGTAGCGGTTCCAAGGTCTCTTGGGGACTTGGGAGTGGGGCGGCAAAGCCTCAACCGCCTCAACCGCCTCAACCCTATCGTCCTTGGAGTTTAGGGCTCGCGTGCACACGACAGCGTCATGTCGTGAGCCCGTCCTTAAACATACAGCCTCTGCCCCCACGACGTTTTGCTGCACCTTGAGGGTCAGGGTCATCACTTAAGGGCTGGTGACCCAACATCGCTTGAGCGTGGCTGCAAGTTGCACCGCGGTGAGCTGTCGAACAGAGCCCGCTCAGAGGCCTTTCGAGCCGGTGGCGCCCCTCGTGCTTCCAAGCTTGCCTTGCAAGATGTGACCCTCTCAGTCTCCAATCGCTAGTGCAACCTTCCTATCGGGAGCCCAGGAACCAGCTCGAGAGAGTCCCAGGAAACTCGTTGGAGAGATCCGTTTCAGGAGGGGAGCTTGGGTAACTTTGGCACACCAAGGGCTTGAGAACTCCCGCGGCCTTGCCCCGAACCTCTTCGTTGGAGAATTATTTTCCCTGGCGTGGCCGCGGCGCTTCTTGGCTATGTGAAGGACCCTAAGAAGCCGTGGTTGAAGAGTTTAAGGCAGGGCTTCTGAGCCAGGCTGTCGTGCTGTTGGCTGAAGCGCATGGGAAGATCCGTTCAGGCGGTAGAGCTCGCCCTCTGCCCTCCGAGCCTTCTGCCTCCTGCACATGGCCACAGAGTCGGGCCTGCTCCCTTGGGAGCGATGTCGGGCGCCTTGTTCTCCCCAAGCTTGTCTCCTTGCAACATGAGCAGTGACCTTTTCTGCAAACTCCCATCCGAGCCAGAGCAACACGGCCTTGACAGCATCTGCTCGGTGTCTTGCCTGAACTCTAACCTACCCGCTAAGGGGGCTGCCTACTCCGGTGGTTTGGCCATCCCATCCACAGCAGACCCTTAGGGCCTTAGGGCCATTCAGCAGCAGGATTTCGGCTGACATCGCTGCCTTAGGAACTGCCAGATGCAGGAAGCTGCGTGCCCCAATTGGACCCCGCACTCAGCTTGCGCCCGAAATGTCGGGGACTTGCAGGCAAACCAATGGTGAGCCAGGCAGGAGCTTCGAAGGGTCTTGCCACGCAGTGGTTTTTTCGCGGTTCAGCTGCACTTTGACTTTACCTTGTGGCAAGCGCATGTCTGTTTAAGACAGGGGCCTCTTGTGAGAGTGGCCACCAGAGCCGATTGCACTGCGATCTCCCCGACTTTTGTAACAAGAGGAAGGCAGGGTTTCGGGTGCTAATGTGCCAATATCCGTCTCCATTTCTGGGTTGATTTGGCTGGTTGGCCTTGAGACGTTAAATGGCTAGCAGGACCCTCGACGCGAATCCATTTTCCTCCCTTGGCTTCTGCATCCTGATATTGGCCAAGATGCCTGGCCGTGCGAGGAGGAGTTTGGTGGCTATGACAGCTCTCACGGACGTCACGGACGTCAGGCATTGGCGGCTCTATTTTCCAAGCCCCTAGTCCTAACATGTTGGGGATACTGCGCGACCTTGGCATCGTAACCTGCAGCTTCAGACCATCAGGTTTCTCGCATCTGGCTTTCTCGGAACGATTTCCACGGCCCTGAACAAAGTCAACAGGCAGCCCAGGCAGCACAGGCGAAACAGGAGGGCCCCGGGGCAAGGCGTTTCCGCCACTATGCTGATGTGGAGGCGGATTCGGCGAGAAGTTAAGATGACTTCAGTTAGAAGCGCCCTTGTGCCTTCTGCATGATTTTGTGGCAAATGCCTGCCGGGCTGGGACCCCTCTTAAGCTGCTAGATCTGCGCCGTGCCCATGGCATCCTCTGCAGGTGCCCAACAGCAATTCAGGTTTTGTCTTATAAGGTTTTTTAGCCAAGGCCCTGATTCACTCAGGTGAGGCCAAGAGGGCGTTCCCCAGGGCTCCTGGGAGAATTCATGGGCGACCGTAGCTGGAATCCGGCCTGGAGAGGACTGCGGCGTCTCTCAGTTCGCCGCATCTCTGGAAGACACAAAGCCACGGCGTTCGGGGGTTCGCCCCCGAAATGTTTTAGGAGTCCTATTTGCAGTCCTAAAGCGCCCAAGCTGTTTTTGGTGCATGCTGCCACCTTGGATGCCACCGCTCCCAACTTGTTGCTGAAACCAGGGGCCTCGGGCCGTCTGCGCTGCGGGCTTAGCAGTTGTGTTTGGGGTGTATGTCCGTATGTGTGCAATGTGCGCAGAGGATTGTGCTGACAGGCGCTTGTCCTCCCCCGACAGGGCTCAAGCATTTGCCAGATTTTCTGCAGCAGCTCCTTCCTGCCGACGCCTCCCGCGTTGCGTTGTCGCGAAAGATTCAGAGAGAGCAGATCACCAGAGCATCCCTCTGCTCGAAGCAGCCCACTTGGCTGCCAGAAAATCGAGTTGGTCCAGCACTCCTTTGACTCCTTGCACAGTGTCGCGTCTTACAAGGCTTCGATGCGCGTGAGCGACGAGCCTTGATTCGATGGCCAGATACCCTTGACAGCCCTTGCAGTGCAGAGCCTAGAAATGTGCCTTGAAGGTCCCGTGTTCCCCACCGGTGTGCTGACCACGTCTCGACGTGAAGCACGCAGCAAGTCACTTTGAATCCACCCTGCCACCGGTGCTTCTTGGCTGGCCTCTTTGCCTGGATCCGTCCAAAAAGTCTCCTGAGGTGTTACTTGCAAGAAAAGACGTTGCATCGCTACTGCCTCGAACACGAGACCATGAATGCTGGGACGATGCGATGGACACTGGTACTTGTTTTTGACCACGACCAAGTGCTCCTCGAAGACACACTGGCAGTTGCTGGCTCCATTCCCAAAATTGGTGAACGGCCTTTGAGAATCCCACGATCCCCCGCGTTGACAGCTGTGTACACAGCATACCTCTGCCGACGTGAGAGGAGGGGCTCCGCATACTTCTCCACGTCTCAGTACACAGTCTTGCTCATCTTGCTCATATCGAGCTCTGCTGAGACATCGGGATCCCGTGAAACCCAACCCTTCGGCGTCGAAGTACCTCTACGCTATTTTTGTTAAGCGTTTTTCCAGGGCTTCACTTCGCAAGAATGGCACCCCGCTTCGGCACGACTCCAGCATACGCCTCTGCACTCAAACCACCGCAATCCCTGTGCAGGTGCCACATCTAGGTGAAAAGAGCACCGGGAGCGCCTGAGGCCGATCGGGTACTGAGTGTTTCAGATTCTGTAGTTGTAGGTCCTCATTGCTCCTGCTTGCAGCTGCAGCGGGTGGAGATGTGGAGATTCCGTCTTGGCCCAGGAAGAAGCTGAAGCCGTCCAGGGTGCGATTGTCTGCTTAGGGCCCCGAGCGTCGCGCCCTACTCGACCTCTAGAGAGCTCGACTCATGCACCCCTCCGTGGACCCGGGGCTCAAGTCACAAAGGGGCCGGAACATGAGCTGACGCTGGGCCGTGAGCTCGAGGACCTTCCGGACCTTCCGTGCGACTCCGACGTGTGTCCACAAAGTGTCTCCAATCCGTGGTGCTCAATTGGTTCAACTGGCCATGTCTGGCCTTTGGACCAGTTCGGCTCTTCGAGGGCAGGGCCACGGAACACGCCGCAGAGCGCATGTGCCGCAGATGCTATACACGCGGTCTTCTGCATAGAAAAAAGTGGCTCTACGTGTCTTCTGCAGCTCACTGGCAAAAGCACATCGCGGGCGAGAAGGGTTTTGGAGTCAGAGGGATTCCCAATCTCTTTCATGGCCACACTGATCCCTGTCAGATTGAGCAGCTAACACGAATATCCGCAAAGGAGCCCTTAGGGGCCCTCTGATCTTCTGATCTTGGACCGCCCATGCGTCGCAGTTCCCGCACCACATCGCACCACCTTAGAATTGCCCTCAGCAAGGGGGGAGCAGAGAGGCTCGGCAGGGCGGAAGCGCTGTGAGTGCCTCTTACGCCGCACCCTTCAGTGATTCACGCTCCCCTCAGCAGCCCAGCCTCCAGCCACGCTACTCCGGGCTTGTGGATGACCGCCAGAAGACAACAAAGGCTCCCCAAATGCAATGCCTGATCTGCCTGGCGGAAGCCTCGCCCCAGGTGCAGATGGACGCATCGATTCTTCGTAGCGTTGCAGATTTCCTGGTCCACTTGCCCTGTGACCCGTGCACCGCGAGCTCAGTGGACCGAGCCTGATACCGAACTCCATCGCACCGAGGTGCTGACGCGCAAATTGGGGAAGCCTCATGGCTCTCAAGGCCTGGAAGCCCTGGAAGCTGCAGAGCTCAGAAGAAGTCGAAGCAGCAGAAGTCGAAGGCCCTGAAACACAACTTCCGTTGAATCGGCTTCGCCTTCGCAAGGCAACCTTGGAAAGGCCGCTTCATCACAGCCTCCGCGCCCCCCTGCTAGGGCTAGTTCCGTGCAAGCGAATCTCGCGAGGGGGCGGAGAGATGCGGAGAGATGCGGTGAGAACCGGCGCCCGTGGTGGCAATATAAGGAGCCAGGTTAGCGTTGCACGTGACTTTCCTCGAGCCTCACCTCAATCGGTGCTTCGGCCGTGAGGATGCGCCGGCCCCTTGATCAGGGTAGCACGCGGACTTCCGTGGTGCCGAAAGGGCGCCACGCCTGCTTCAAGGACATGAAAACGCGTCGCAGGGAGGCACCTTCACGCGAAGCACAAGCCGTGCAGGGCCGCAGGGGTCCCGTATTTGGAGACGTTGCTGGGAAGTGCGCGCAGTGCGCCCGTCCCCTGCCTCCGCTCTCGACCAAGGCTGCACGGAACTCGCACGTTCTCTTTCTTGGAGCCGCCGCGGCTGCACGTGGGCGGCGCGTGGCGCCCTGAGGCGCCTTCAGCGCTTCAGGCTCATGGGGCCGAGCTCCGGCGTTGAGCTCTGGCTTCCCGAAGGCCGCTGCTCCCTTTGCTCCTTTGCTTCTGCAAACTTCCGTTCTTCAACAGTAGCCCTTTGTCATCCGTCGGCCGAGTGTCTCAGGCGTGGCCTCGGACGGCGGTCGTCCGGAGTTTGTGTGCGGCGGCCCCGCCTGCGGTGCCAGTGTTTGGGGCCCTTGAGGCAGAGGCAGAGGCTGAGGACTCGGAGGTTTGCTGCACTTCATCTCATGGCATCTCAGCTCCCCAAGCGTGCTGGCTCACTCTGTTTACAAAAGGGCGCTCTGTTTAGAGAGCTTGGTGCTGGAACCAGGGGAAGGTAGCTTGTCTTTGAACTCTTTGAGCTTCACGTGCTGCTCATATTGCTCATGCCCGCCATGTGGGCGGTCTCCTCATCGCATCGGAGGCAAACGGTTGAGGCGATCAGCCCGGAGACCTTCGCCCAAACGCTTTCTCTTGCCTTATATGCCTTCAGCCCAAGCCGCATGCGTTCGGCGTGCAGCTCCACAAGCTCTCAGCACTCTCCGCGGGCGCCGTGGGCGATGCCCGTAGGGTACTTGCCAGGCCTGCGGCCGTGTTTTGAGGCGACAGCTTGCCGAGGAAGCGTCGTGAGAATCCCATCCAGGTGCAGCCGCAGGAGCAGCTCTGGTCTTCAGCGCTGAGGCGCTTCCTGCCTACCGTGCGAAAAGCTCTCTCCTCAAGCCGAGGAAAGCTTCCACAGGGTGCAGGCTTGAAGGCTTGACGGGCACCCGGGCTGACGTCTGCGCGATGGCTCTCCCGAGCGGCAGTTCGCCGCCGCACTTCTGTGCAGTCGTGACGAGTCCTTTGCATCGCAAGAAGACAACTTGTCTTGTAGTCCTTTCCGGATGCCCGTCCCTGCGCCCTGCCACCAGGGTACCTGCTCGGCGACGGCTCAGTAAGAAACATGGATGTGCCGGCTGTCAATGGAAGCAGCAGCAGAAGTGCAACGTGCGCCGCCATCCTGACACCAAGTCTCCGTGCAGGTTCGCAGGAACGCCCCGCCCCATCGCCAACGCAGCGATGTCACAGGGTGACGGCTCCTGATGCAGTGGCACCACGCTCCATGCAAAAGTTACTTTAAACTAACGTCAAGAAATTTGGGTCCGATCCCATTCTTGCCATCCTCCTCTTGAGCCAACCGTGCAGCCATTTGAGGATCCAAGTGTTGGAGAGCACGCGAGCGTTCGCCACGCTAGCATTCGCCTAAGAGCCTGCGTGCCTCTTGCTGAGCCTGTCGCGGAGCGAGGTGGAGCCTGTTTCGGCGCCGTTTTGCGTGACCTGGAAGACGATGGCCGGGTTGTGCAGACAAAGCCGAGTGCCGCCAGAGGTTTCCAGGCGCTGCGCGGCGGGCGACAGGCGACGTCCACGGCGCCCCGTCTGTGCTCTCTCTGCCAGGCAAAGCCTTCGAGCCTTACGAGGGCTTTCCCCCCCGCCTCCACCAGGTTCTCGATGTCTCCTCTCGCCTCTCTGCATACGCGGACACCCCCTTTAGCACCCTTTGATGCCTTGAGCCTTGCAAGGGCCTCCGTGTGGGAGGAGCGCACAGGCTTGCCCGGCTCCTACACGTAGCTCACATGGATACGGCGCTCATGGTCCTCCGTTGATGGAAGTCGATGCCGTCATCTGGACGGGGCTCTGGGCGCAATCAGAGCCAAGATCATTTCTGCTTCTGAAATCGAAGTTCCTGCCTTACCTTCTCCCCTTCATTTCCAGCAGGCTCTGCCCTGGCATGCCGCGCGGCGCCACAGAGAAGGCTCATATCGTGGCTTCTGGAACTGTAGACTTCAGATCACCAAGATGCAAAGAACATGTTAACAAACAGATGGACTTTCTGACATGATGCCGCTTCCAAAGCTCCAGCTCGCATCTCCTTGCCAGCTGTAAGGCACTGTCAGGCTAGAGGGGCCGTGGAGGTAGCGGCGGCACAGCCGGTGCCTGTCGACCTTCAAGAGGCAGGGAGGGGAGAGCGGATGTTGTAGTTTGCACTCGATGCAGGCAGCAGCATGTCGAAAACGGTGCTTCTTGTTTCGGCCGGTGTTGTTGCTTTGTATGTTTCGGGTTTCAGGTGACGAGCATGCAACCCAGTTGAAGCTTTGAAAACCCTAAACCCTAAACCCTCTTCCAAGAGCTACGAGAGAGGAGAGAGCGAGAGGAGAGCGTCCTCAGGTTGCGTCAGTTGCTAACTTCTTTCGGGGGGAGGCGCTTCAGTTGAGGCAAACGTTGCACAACCTACGGGTGCGAGGCCTTCAAATGAAGACTCATCAATTGAAAACTATGTGTGTCCAGCTCGACAGGCATGAGCCCACGTTGTAGGAAATGAATGGGACAGGGTCCGGAAGGCTGAAAAGGGCGTCCTCAACCTTACGGCAAAAAGTCATGCTAGTGACTCGAGTTACAGATGTCCAAAGACGAGTTACTCCGACAGAAAGGGTCCTCTCGTTCAAAGTTTTCCAGGCATCCTGTTTAGCCTTCAACTACAAGCCCCTTGCTCTTTTCGCCAATCTCATGCGCTCTGCACTTGAAAACAAAAATCTTTTGAGAGTCAGAGAGTTCATGGAGGGTTTCATGCCGGCTCAGTGTGTCGGATTTCCTTCTTGACAACCCAAGTGACCAAGTGAAGTGAAAGAGCTTGCAGACAAAAAATCTGATTGGAGTCTGGAACACGAGTGCGGACAGGCGTCACATCGGCTTTCTGCCGACAAACTTTTCTGCGAGAGGGATCGGACACATGTTGCCCCACACGACATGAAGGCACGAGAAAAACCACGAAACGCAAGCAAGATACCGCATGTCGCGGCACGACAACAATAATACTGCAGAGAAAATAAAACTAAAGACACAAGGGCAAGAACACGCAGACACGGTGCGAAGGCGCATGCAGGAGCAAAGACACGACACGAAGACACGAGGGATGCGACACGAAAACGCGACACGAAGACACGAGGACACAACACGAACGCGCGACACGAAGACGAACACGACATGAACACACACGAAGACACGACACGGAGACACGACACATGAAGGTCCGATACAGAGACACTACCCATGAAGGTCCAAAAGCGACGAGAATCCTTGAGGCAGCACACTTTGAAGCTGGCTTCGGGGGGTGCTTTGACGATGCGCCGAAACGTAGAGCTAGGCTGCCACAGCTTCAGTGCACTCCATCCCCAGACCTTCAACCCAAGCGAACCCTTCTGCTTCCGGAAAAGAAGCGGTTGGGTAGTAAAATTTTTAAAATGTAGTAAAGTAGGACCACGGCTCGCGCGGCCGCCATGTCTCGTGTAGCTGGTGGTTGGGATATGATGGGAGTGCAGGTTGCAGTTTTACAGCACTGCATGGAGTTGCCGCACGCCTGACAATGCTGTAGCTTGATGTTACAGAAGTCGAGCACCTCGAACTAGTTCTAACACCTCGACAGAGCGCATACTTCCAAACTGGAGAAGCGGGGCGATCGGATCGTCGTAGGGCGGGGGAATAGCGGGGCAGCCCATCCATGCCGACTTTGCGTGAGTCAGGGCATGTCGCCTCGTTTCGAGGCTTCCCAGAGCTGCCACGTTGCAAGCAGTTTGCAAAAATTCCGTGTGAGGCTGCTTAGTTGGAAGTTGCTCTTGGCTCCATCGCTGATGTTTTCCCGGATTGGCTTTCTTGCGCGACCCAAGCGAAGAAGGCACTTCGCACAAACAAACGAAAAACGAAGCAGCTTTTAATTGGCAAGGCAGTTGGGATCACGGCTTTCAGAAGGGGCACCTCATTTCTCATGGTAAAAGGTATCCCTGAAACTTAAACCCTAAACCCAAGGGCTGGGAGGTCGGAGATCCGGGAATCCAATGAGTTCGGGTTGAGGGTTAAGGGGTTAGGATTTAGGGTTAAATTAGGGCCAGGGTCTAGGGATCCTATGTCTCCACAACCTCGTTGCAATGATTGTGCTGGTAGCTAGTTGCTGTCAGATTCCGAGGACTCAGGATTTCACTGGGGCCTTCATGGGGCACTGCGTTTCGGCGAGCTTCGGCTCAAGAATCGCAGCTCAGTTAAAGGCGACCTTCTCGCTTTAAACGGCAGTCAAAGTCATATGGCTTTTCAAGATGCGGGCAGAACTGGACTGCAAGAGACTGCGCTTAAGGTCAGCTCTCTGAGTTCTGGTCCCTATGTGGGTCCTGTTTCTGCAATTCGGCCTTCAATGGAGCTGGGTGTGGGCTACTTAGCCGGCGCTCTGGCAGCCAGCGGTACAGCTCGCAACTCAGGCTTCGGTTGTGAGAGGGACGCCGCTGTCATTGGGGTCAGTCTTAAGTGGTCGGTGCCTGCTCTGCATCGGCAACCAAGAGCTTCATCCTGCTGCCTCTGGCTCTGTCTCTCTATCTCTCCTTCCATCCTTCTCTCCTTCTCTCTTTCTCCTTCTCTCTCTCTCTCTCTCTCTCTCTCTCCTTTTCTTTCTCTCTCGCTCTCTCTCTCGCTCGCTCTCTCTTCTCTTTGTCTGCGAGTAGAAGGAGCATCAAGAGATCGTGCACTGGATTGCGCTGCAGATTCCAGGTTCCCTCGGCCCTCCTTCCACTTCCATGTCTTTGTACGTATGTGCTGGCCAAGCTGCAACTGCGACTTGGCAGCACGTGGGGCCGAGTCGAAACCCTAAGCCCTAAGCACCCTATAAACCCTATAAACCCTACAAACCCCATTAACCCTATAAGCCCTCCATCAACCCTATAAAACACACACAAACGCTCTCCCCCCCAAGTAAACACATAAGCCCTTGTCCGGCAGCTCCCTGAGGCACTGGTTCAGGGAGCTTGAGGAGCTCTATTGGCAGGAGGTGCGGCTCTCAAGTTCACATGGGGGGGGTTGTTGGAAGATCATGGTCTCTTTTGGGGTTTGGGGTCTGTGGGGGTGGGGTGGGGTGGTTAGGGTTGAGGGTTTTTGGGGTTGTCAGAAACCGATGGTCTCTTCGGGAGGGGGGGGATATAAATGATGGTCCTTTAGGTTCACGACTCAGCCTTGAAGTCGAGATTTAGGGTTTGGGGTTTGGGGAGAGATGTCTGCGGTAGACTCCAGGATCACGAATTCTCGGGGGAAGCACCTGCGTTAGTCACGAGAAGCTAGCTCCTTTGGAGCTTGCGGAAGTTGTTGTTTCTCTTCTTGTTTCGGGGCAAATAGGACTTGAGGGGCCTAAATCCCTGATATCTCTTGTATTTGACGTCTGGGCGGGGCCCCTGCTGGTTGCAGTTGAGGGTCTCGATTAGGGTGGGGAGGAGGGGGGGGGGGGGGGGGGGGGGGGGGGGGGGGCGGATGGCCTGACCTTGAGGCCTCCCTCGGCCCCTTCTCACTTCGAGTGTTGCAAAAATCTTGCCACTTGACATCTGCGGGGGCCTAGCTTTGTCCGCCCTGCTCTTAAGCTTTTCTTCGGGCGCCAAGAGACCACGGAAAAAGAGAGGTCAGAGAAAGTAGGGAAATGGAACCACAAGAATGCCACAAAGATAACGAACACTCAGAAATGGAAAACAATTATGCGACTAGTCCTGGATATCTGGGCTTTGTTCACCATTGGATGTAGGTGGTTGTTGTTCAATGCTTGCTGGGCTTGCTCGGAGAGATTGACCTGGAATTTCCCCCGCAGCTGATTCTAGGCACAGTTACGCTATCTACCCTGTGCTAGCAGATGTGGTGTCTTCCGCTTTTCTCCTTCCGGTAAGAGGTTACCTTGTGCGAAGTTGTGAGAGCGATCCGTGACATGCTGAGGTTGATGCCCCGGATGTCCCTGTGCCAGCAGGGGCAGAAGCTAGAAATGTCAGCGGGAGACTCAGAGGACATGCTCAGTGCTCTCTCTCTGCAAGACACCAGCTGCCAGGCTCAGAGTATCTGAGTATCGCTCCCCGGTTGAGGGGGGAGGTTTCATTCGAGGTTTCATTTTCTCTCCATTTTCTTTTGAAGAGCATCTGCCCTTCCTAAGGTATTGAAGGGCATGTTGGAGAGCGAAGCGAAGTGACCTCGCACCACCGCTCCCCGCAGCCGCGCGTGCCCGAGGCGGGGGGTTGAAGAGGGGAGACCTATTTCGGAATACCTTTTCACCTCAACCTTCCGACATGACACTGCTGACATAGGGATCTGGATGCAAATCTTGGATCGGTCACCCGACTCCGACGCCCCCCCCCCTTCTCAACCAGAGCGATGACGTTTGTGAGTCAACCCCAACTTGCCTGGGACCGCCTTCTTGTTTAATATCACCATGGCGAGGATTGCTTATTATTGTTCATCGCGACCAGCTCTTCACCAACAGTTGCATGAGCAGTGTTCGGTCTCTCATCACGGGGGCGCGCGCGCAAGGTCTCGTCTTCCAAGACCCCAGAAAGAAAGGGAGAAAGTGGATGGGAGGCTCAGCAGGTGATCTGTAAAGAGATTCCTGTTGTGGCAAGGGCGGGGGGGAGAGGTTAAGGCAACGGTTTTTGTTTGAGGGAAAAAGGGCAACTGAGTAGCTGGACGCAAGGAGAGGGAAGTTGTGGTTGTACTGGCCTTGGCTCTGGCAATGGTAGCTGCGAAAGAAAGAAGTCAGATAATCAGATATACGCAAAAGTGCATATTTTTGCGCACGCTGAAACTCAAGAAGTTTTCCGTTTTGGAGGCAGCAGCTCAGGCGGCGCCGGTGTCAGCTCGGTGGCACCTGCGGCCCTCGGTGGGCACGTGGTGCTCCACCCTTTTTGCCCGTCCGGAGATGGGCCGATAGAGCGGTGGTGTTGGGGTTTGAGTTCTGGAGTTGGATGACGTTGGCAAGGTCGACTTCACAACGTTGAAGTCATGTTTAACATCCCTTGGCTGTGCTCTTGTGTTCTCGAATGTGCGAAAAGATGTTTTCTTCGGTATACAAACAGTCGTTTTCGAGCTGCCTGGGCTTCAGGTACGCGCCGGTCATTGAGCGTCCGGTGCAGGCGGGTGAGGTTGTGGCCCCGGCGAGTCACTGGTGCAGCTATGTGCAGCTTTGCGGGTGGTTGTCGCTCTCCGTTCATGACGTTCATGCAGTTTGCGTGTTCCGTAGGCGCCGGCAGCGAGCATCAGCGAGATCAAGGCGCGCTTCAGTCCGATTGCCTCAGTTATTCTTCCACAGCATTCCGCAACGCCTAGGCTGCTTCCAAAACGAAGTTGGAACAGCTGCACTCTTCGTGGAGCCCCCCCAAAACAAACCCGAAACTGGCCGGCCACAAGTTGCCACAATGCTCACAGCCAAAACTACCTACCCCGACTTGTTCATCGCGACCAGCTCTTCACCAACAGTTGCATGAGCAGTCTTTGGCCTCTCAACACAGGGACGCACACGCGCGTGCCTGCACGCACGCGCAAGGTCTCGTCTTCCAAGACCCCAGAAAGAAAGAGAGAAAGCGGATGGGAGGTTGAGTAGGTGATCTGTGAAGGGTTTCCTGTTGTGGCTAGGGGGGGGGGAGGTTGAGGCAACGGTTGAGGTTTGAGGGGATAGGGTGTCCTCGACCCACATGGACAGGCGTAACAACTGAGTGGACGCCAGGAGAGGGAAGTTGTGGTTGTACTGGCCTAGCTGCGAAAGAAAGAAGTCAGACATACATAAAAGTGCATGTCAGTGCGTGTGTGTGTGTGAGAAACGAAACTCGAGAGATTCTTTCGCTTTGGAGGCAGCTCAGGCGGCACCAGTGTCAGCTCGGTGGCACCTGCGGCCCTCGGTGGGCACGTGGTGCTCCACCCTTTTTGCCCTTCCGGAGATGGGCCGATAGAGCGGTGGTGTTGGGGTTTGAGTTCTGGAGTTGGATGACGTTGGCAAGGTCGCCTTCACAACGTTGAAGTCATGTTTAACATCCCTTGGCTGTGCTCCTGTGTTCTCGAATGTGCGAAAAGATGTTTTCTTCGGTATACAAACAGTCGTTTTCGAGCTGCCTGGGCTTCAGGTACGCGCCGGTCATTGAGCGTCCGGTGCAGGCGGGTGAGGTTGTGGCCCCGGCGAGTCACTGGTGCAGCTATGTGCAGCTTTGCGGGTGGTTGTCGCTCTCCGTTCATGACGTTCATGCAGTTTGCGTGTTCCGTAGGCGCCGGCAGCGAGCATCAGCGAGATCAAGGCGCGCTTCAGTCCGATTGCCTCAGTTATTCTTCCACAGCATTCCGCAACGCCTAGGCTGCTCCCAAAACGAAGTTGGAACAGCTGCACTCTTCGTGGAGCCGCCCCAAAACAAACCCGAAACTGGCCGGCCACAAGTTGCCACAATGCTCACAGCCAAAACTACCTACCCCGACTTGTTCATCGCGACCAGCTCTTCACCAACAGTTGCATGAGCAGTCTTTGGCCTCTCAACACAGGGACGCACACGCGCGTGCCTGCACGCACGCGCAAGGTCTCGTCTTCCAAGACCCCAGAAAGAAAGAGAGAAAGCGGATGGGAGGTTGAGTAGGTGATCTGTGAAGGGTTTCCTGTTGTGGCTAGGGGGGGGGGAGGTTGAGGCAACGGTTGAGGTTTGAGGGGATAGGGTGTCCTCGACCCACATGGACAGGCGTAACAACTGAGTGGACGCCAGGAGAGGGAAGTTGTGGTTGTACTGGCCTAGCTGCGAAAGAAAGAAGTCAGACATACATAAAAGTGCATGTCAGTGTGTGTGTGTGTGAGAGAAACGAAACTCGAGAGATTCTTTCGCTTTGGAGGCAGCTCAGGCGGCGCCGGTGTCAGCTCGGTGGCACCTGCGGCCCTCGGTGGGCACGTGGTGCTCCACCCTTTTTGCCCTTCCGGAGATGGGCCGATAGAGCGGTGGTGTTGGGGTTTGAGTTCTGGAGTTGGATGACGTTGGCAAGGTCGCCTTCACAACGTTGAAGTCATGTTTAACATCCCTTGGCTGTGCTCCTGTGTTCTCGAATGTGTGAAAAGATGTTTTCTTCGGTATACAAACAGTCGTTTTCGAGCTGCCTGGGCTTCAGGTACGCGCCGGTCATTGAGCGTCCGGTGCAGGCGGGTGAGGTTGTGGCCCCGGCGAGTCACTGGTGCAGCTATGTGCAGCTTTGCGGGTGTTTGTCGCTCTCCGTTCATGACGTTCATGTAGTTTGCGTGTTCCGTAGGCGCCGGCAGCGAGCATCAGCGAGATCAAGGCGCGCTTCAGTCCGATTGCTTCAGTTATTCTTCCACAGCATTCCGCAACGCCTAGGCTGCTCCCAAAACGAAGTTGGAACAGCTGCACTCTTCGTGGAGCCCCCCCAAAACAAACCCGAACCTGGCCGGCCACAAGTTGCCACAATGCTCACAGCCAAAACTACCTACCCCCTCAACCCGGTCGGCGTGGATCAGCAGTTCTAGGGGAAATAGTGGCCCCCAGTGAGTCACTGGTGCAGTTTTGCAGCTGCTTGTTCCCTTCTTGAGTGCGATATACGACAGGCCCTTTAAAAAGCCACCAGAAAAAATCCAGGCTCAAAGGCATGCGAAGCAAGCTCACAAGAAAGGGACGGGTATACGGGTGTCACCCTCTATACATGACGCAACCCCATCGCTTCAGGCCACAAAAGGTACTGCATTTAAGCTGGGAAAGCCCTTTGTGTTCGTCTGTGTGCGTGTGCGCGTGTGTGTGTGTGTGTGTGTGTTGGTTCTTTTGGTCATGGAATGATCAATGACCACTGTAGCATCCCAGCAGCAGCAACGAAGTTCCGGGCATCAGGCGGCAAGACAGCACCGGAGCTTGCGCCCTGCGCACACCCCAAACAACCCTAATGCAGTGCGGCTGGTCTGCTTGGCGGGTGGCAAAGAATGACCATGTCGAGGCTAAAACTCGTTCTCTGTATTCATCGTGCTTTGCTCTGATAGAACTCCTTCACAAATCAGATCATGATGATTTTGTTACGGGCATTCCAAGATCTTACCACAATATGAAGCTTCGAATTTAATCTGTTTCGGCCGGCTGTGAGCCAGGCTGAGTTGTTGCGTGACAAGTGCTCATGATTAAATGTAAGCTGATACCATACGTGGGTCTACCCATGGGGTACACGGTTCTTGGTGGGACTTCGCCACTTAGGAGTACGATTCTGCTACGGGCAAACGTCCCCTCTACGCTAACAGGCCCTGTGACGTGCTGTTGTCTCAGGCTCACGTCCCTTTGCCACCGAGCAGTGTGACAAGCGGCGGGAGTCTCAGGACATTTGCCCTGTGCGCAGGCCGTCAGCTGCCGACCTCAGGTGTTCTCTTGTTGTTGATCAGTTGTTGGAGTTTTTGAAGCGCACGTCGAGAACGGAACTGGTGATGCAGGCCACTATCTGCGACAGCCTGTCACTTCGCTGGCGTTGAGGCTCCTCGGCTCTGCGTTCTTGCACGTCAGTGCATCCGCTGTGCGCACCATGCGAGGCGAGTTGCAAGCCCGGTCTTTCGAGTGGGCTTCGCCG